GGGGGGGGGGTGTGCTTTCTGCTGAAGCCACAGCAGCTCCCTCTCTGAAGAACGCGGCCCTCCTGGGTCCCGGGGTGCTGCAGGCAACCAGGATCTTTCACGCTGGGCAGCCAAGTCTCGCCCCTGTACCACCTCCTCCTGAATATGGAGGCAAAGTTCGTCATGGGCTGATCCCTGAGGAGTTCTTCCAGTTCCTTTACCCTAAAACCGGTGTGACAGGACCCTATGTGCTCAGAACTGGGCTTATCTTATATTTCCCATCTAAAGAAATATGTGTGGTTACTCCAGAAACCATCTCTGCCATATCAACAATAGGGTTGCTTGTCTATCTAGTTAAAAAATATGGTGCCTCTATTGGGGAATTTGCTGATAAGCTCAATGAGCAAAAAATTGCCCAACTAGAAGAAGCGAAACAGGCTCCCATCAAAGGCATCCAAGATGCAATTGATCTGGAGAAGCCCCAGCAGGCACTGGTTCAAAAGCGTCATTACCTTTTTGATGTCCAGAGGAATAACATCGCTATGGCCTTGGAGGTTACTTACCGGGAACAGCTGCATAGAGTATACAAGGAGGTAAAGAATCGCCTGGACTATCATATCTCGGTGCAGAATATGATGCGTCGGAAGGAACAAGAGCACATGGTCCAGTGGGCGGAGAAGCACGTGGTGCAGAGCATCTCTGCACAGCAGGAAAAGGAGACAATTGCCAAGTGCATTGCAGATCTAAAGCTGCTTGCAAAGAAGGCTCAGGCACGGCCAGTTATGTAAATCATCTGTCCTGATGGAGACAGCTAGAAACACTTGACTGACAAATGGAAACTAGGCTGTGACAAAACTTTTCTGTATCGCCACCTGCTGGAGTTACAGTTTACCCCACCTAAAATGAAGCTTTTGAGTTGCATCTAGTGAGAGAATTAAAACAGTGTTGGCCAGTGGGGGGGAAAAAAATCTCTCAGGAAGCTGATATAAAGACACCAACAAACCAAATATATAAAATAAGATCAAGTCTCTAAAATAAGCTCAGAAAGTGGAACTCCACAGAACAACAAAGCTCCACCTTCTCCCATCAGTCCTACCCAGCTGAGTGATGTGTCTTCCCCACGAGCAGTAACTTCACACCAGTTTCGGGTTGGAATCAGTGTGATTTGCTGAAGTGCCCTTCAAGGTTCAGCTAGTTCTACACGAGAAAACAAAGAAAAACTGAGTGACAATGCTACAGGTGCTGATAGCTTATTGGATACAAGTCCTGAAGCAGACCAACACATTTCTGCCCCATTGCAAGCAGAAGTTGTACCTTACACAGTAAGGAATTACGAGATAAATGACAGGCCCAAACACCCGAGGAGGCTGAAGCTTGCCTGAGCTCTGGGTCTTACCATTCCATTCACACTGATTTGGCCCCATCCCTGGGCACACCTGTCCCCCAGATTCCCAAACCTCTCCACCTATCTGAACACATTCCTTGAGAAAATCAACTATCACCAGTGATGTCAGAATTCAGCAACTATGAGAGATCTTGCAGAAGAGATTGGAGAGCTCTGAAACGGAGTGGGAACAGCTACAAGCCAAGCTCCCATCCAGAAGGACGTAATTGTGTACTTAAACAGTGCTGAGATTTCCGAGAATGGCTCTGACCTCAGCCAGAAACTTCAACTCAGAGCAAGTAGGAGGAGGTCTTGAGCACCAGACCACAGAACCCCTCATTGTCATCTTGTTCCCCAAATACCATCTCTATGTGCTGTAAATGTTTATTATTAGTTATCCTATATTCTCCTATGTAAACGAAGTGTGTCTCTCCCTATTTTACTTTTTACCCAATACCAGAGATTTCCCCACTTTGCTTTCTCCCACCCCCTTAACCTACCACCAATGGATTTCACATAATCCCTTCTCCTCCTCTGGTTCTACTGTATGAAATAAGCTGCGAAACTGCAATTCTCCGGAGCATTTTCTCAATTTGTTGAGATTCTGCTTCCTGGCAATTGTCTTTAATTTGGTTCAAATAAACTTAGAAATTCTCTATAGGTTTGGATGTTTCTTACGTTGACATTAACTTGGCACAGTCGACAGGATTCCAAAGAAGCCCACCCAGGACCACCCTGTGTACCTGTACCTGTTGCTGGGTACAAGCAAGGGCTCATTGTGACCCACCAGCTACTTGCTTTGCATGGGGTGAATTTGGATGAGTCTTTCTTGGAATTCCTGACCTTCCTGTTTTAAGGTAGGAGGCCTTGACTTTATATGAGCTGTTCTTACAGAAAATAATTGTGTAATTTTGATAGATATTGATAAATCAGCTTCCATAGGGGTTTCTGAAACTGAGGGATTAAATGACTTGGATTACATTTAGTTTTAAATCCTAGTTCTAGAAATAACCTCTCTCTCTGTCTATACCCCTCAGAGAACTAGCCTTTCGCATGGATAATCAGTAACCCCCGAGGCAGCAGAAGGCAGTAACTGCACCTAATGGTCACAGGTTCAGATCTCTGGCAGGCTAACAATAACATCTTGACCTAAGTTCAGTTCTTGTGCCCTAAAGTGGAACCATTCCCTACCTACTTTCCCAAGAGACTGGGCAAGGAAATGCTGGGGGAAAACCTCAGAGATGTCTTCAAGACCTGAAGTAATGATTCATTACCCTTACCTCACCTCCAACCGATCAGCTCCCAGCACGACCCTGAATCCCTAACCCACAGAGTCCTGTGATTTCCCCTATAGAACCTGTGAAGCACATGCCATTGAGGAATTCGGCTTTTGAGTATTAGCTTCCTGTTCTCCTGGATGGAGCCATTCATCATAAACGAGCCAATGTTTCTCTGCTGCAATTCTTGGTGTGTAGTGTTTGGCTCTACTGGTGCCAGGCAGACAAACTCTTTCTGTTTGGTAACATTTTCTACAATTTTTTTTTCTTTTAAAGAGCTCTATTAAGGTATAATTTGCAATCATAAACTTCACTTGTTTTAAGTTTATAGTTCAATGAATTGTAATCAACCACCCTGTAGTATAGTAAAAAAATAAATGTGATCTTTGTCCCTGTGTTTCTGGCACAAAGCTTGGGAATTGGGAATTTCTTGAGTGATAGGAGTGTCTTTTGTTATTCATTACAAGTCCCTTTGGATGGTACCTGAGTTTATGCTAATGAGGTGGCTTTGGGCAGGGTCCCTAGGGAGCTTCTAGAGGGGGCCTGGTTTCCAGAAAAGCCAGCATGTGATTAAAAAGTTGGAACTTTGAGCCTCACCCCCTGATCTCACGGGGAAGGGAAAGAAGTAAAGATTGGGTTCAATCAGTCATGCCTACATAACACACACACACACACCCGCCCTGTAAAGACCCTTGAAAATGAGACTCAGAGAGTCTCCTGGTTGGTGGAGTCTGCGGGGAGAGTACTGGGAGGGTGGTGCACCCAGAGAGAGCCTGGAAGCTCTGTGTCCCTCTGCTCCTATACCT